TGGGGTAGTGTTGTAGAACAGAGAGACCTAGGGGTGCAGGTACATAATTCTCTGAAGTTTGCATCACATGTAGACAAGGTGGTTAAGAAGGCATTTAACACGCTTGCCTTCATTGCTCAGACCTTTGAGTAAAGGAGTTGGGGACGTCACGTTGAGGTTGTACAGGACGTTGGTGAGGCCTCTTCTGGAGCACTGTGTCCAATTCTGGTCGCCCTGTTATAGGAAGGATATTATTAAACTGGAGAGGGCTCAGAAGAGGTTTACCAGGATGTTGCCGAGAATGGAGGGTTTGAGCTATAAGGAGAGCCTGGGTAGACTGGGCATGGAATGGTTGGACTTGATGGGTCGGTTTCCATACTGTATGACGATGTTTAATGCTGAGATCGAGACAAAACAAAATTGTCTTTGGGAATCTTGCGGTGGGGGTGAATGTCTGAAGACGGGGTGCTAAATTGGAAAACCAGCCACGGCCATGTCCATACGCTGAGCAGGCTCGAAGGGCCGAATGGCCTGCTTATGTTTTGCAAAGTGTCGATGCGGAGAAATTCTCGACTTTTTGTTTTGTGATCGACCCCCTCTGCTTTCTTTTCCCGTTTTGTCTGAACAGGCTGGTGCTGTCTGAGGATCTGGTCAACGTTCTGGTTGTCCACGGTGGAGGGCTCGTCCTAGATCTGACTGCTGGGTACCTTCTCTTCTTCGACGTCACCCGGCCATACGCCATGGTTTTTGTCACCTACTTCCACTGTATGAACTCCCAGCTCTTCAGCATAGGTGACTACTTCCCCTCCCCTCCCCTCCCCTCCCCTGCTACCTTTCCCGGCCACCACCGTCCTCCACTGTCACAGATACCTCTGAGCAATTGGCCGCTCACTGTCTGGGGTGGGGTGGGCATCAGTCAGCGGGCACCGTGAGGGGTAACGTTTTCACGTCGCGAAAGCCTCTTGTCTTAGAGGTGCCCGAGATATTTCAAACCTCTTCCAGTCAACGTAGATGACCCCGAGTCCCTCTTTCTCTCACAGGAGAGGCAGGGAGCTCTACTAGAATGTTGGCCAATGTAGGCCTTCAGCTGATTAGCCTCTGGTTGGCTCTCGTCTCCAGAAGCTTACTAAGTGCACCTTGGTCACCCTGTCTCCCGTAGTGCTTCAGAAAACTACTTCATCGGCACCTGCTGGTTGGGAAAGGTGCTACGTAAACGCATTCACTCGTCTGAGTTGCTTTTGCAACTTTGGGAAAGGCACATCAGGGCAGGACTTATACACTTAATGGTAAGGTCCTGGGGAGTGTTGCTGAACAGAGAGACCTTGAGGTGCAGGTACGTAGTTCCTTGAAAGTGGAGTTGCAGTAGACAGGGCGGTGAAGAAGGTGTTTGGTACGCTTGCCTTTATTGGTCAGTGCATTGAGTATAGGAGTTGGGAGGGTCATGTTGCGGCTGTACAGGACATTGGTTAGGGCCCCTTTTGGAATACTGCGTTTAATTCTGGTCTCCCTGCTATAGGAAGGATGTTGTTAAACTTGAAAGGGTTCGGAAAAGATTTACAAGGATGTTGGAGGGTTTGAGCTACAGGGAAAGGCTGAATAGACTGGGACTATTTTCCCTGGAGCATTGGAGGCTGAGGGGTGACCTTATAGAGGTTTATAAAATCATGAGGGGCATGGACAGGGTGAATAGCCAAGGTCTTTTCCCCAAGGGTAAGGAAGCCCAAAACTAGAGGGGCATAGATTTAAGGCGAGAGGGGAAAGATTTCAAAGGGAGCTGAGGGGCAACTTTTTTTGTGCAGAGGGTGGTGTATGTGGAACAAGCTGCCAGAGGAAGTGGTGGAGGCTGGTACAATTACAACATTTAATGGATGGGTACATGAATGGGAAGAGTTTAGAGGGATATGGGCTAAATGCTGGCAAGTGGGACTAGATTAGTTTAGGATATCTGGGTCGGCATGTATAAGTTAGACCGAAGGGTCTGTTTCTGTGCTGTACGGCTTTGAGCATGCTCCATCATCCAACTCAGTCCCCTTTTTCCCAGCTTTCTCCCCATACCCTTTGATCTCCAAGGGATCCAGCTTCAACTGCTCACTGGGAAAGAGAAATCTGCAGACTATCGACTCTCTTGTGAGAAGAAATTTCTCTTCCAAAGATGTGCAGGTTAGGGTGGATTGGCCGTGCTAAATTACCCATAGTGCCCAGGGATGTGCAGGTTAGGGTGGATTGGCCATGGGGAATGCCGGGTTACAGGGAGAAGTTGGGTCTGGTTGGGATGCTCTCCAGAGGGTCGGTGTGGACCCGATGGGCCGATCGGCCTGTTTCTGCACTGCGGATATGATTCAGCTCTCCCTTATTTTGAGACTCTGTTCCCTGGCGCTGGATAGTTTCCCAATCAGCCTTTTTGGGCACGTCATTAGACACCTCCTGGACTTGAACCAGGGCCTCCTGACCCCAAGGTATGGGCACTACCAATGGCACCGCAATTCTATCGATAGACACGTTGACATTATGGCTGTTCCCCAAAAGGATTAAGAGCGGAGATAAGGGAGAGGGTAGTAGTGGCGGCCGGATGATGGATGAAGGTGGCTTTGGTAATCCAGGAGTGTCTTCCCTCTCTCCCTCTCTCTCTAGGAATGTTCTCCTACACCATGTTGGCGACATCTCTGCTGTTCTGCTACCCAGACTGGCCCAAGAGGCTCACCCAGAAGTTCCCAGCATTCCTGAGGCCCTTGCTCCCGCTGACGGACCAGCCCCAACGGAGCGACTCGTGCGTCTACCCTGGGCCCGGGGCCGGCCGGAAAACCGGGAGACGGGAGGCTGCCGTCGTCAAGGAGACGGGCCTAACGCCGCGGCAGTGGCTGGGGGCAGCTTTTACCGTCATCTACGTGGCTGAGCAGTTCTTCCTGCCGTATTCGCACTTCATCACACAGGTAAAAGGGATCCCTCCGGGAATGACGGCTGGGAATATCTCGCACGGATGGGCTCTTTTTTTCTTCTTCTTCTTCTTCTCTCCTTCCGAAATGTGGAGGGCAGTGAGGAGTTGGCAAAGGAGAGGAGCTGAAATCTTCAAGTGGATCAGCCATGAGTTAATGGCGAGGCAGGGTCAGGGATTGAGGGGCTGAATGGCCAGCTCAAGTTCCCGTTTCCTCATAGAGGATGAGGCCGGGGCCTGCGACGATGTCTGTTTTCTATTTCTCTCGTTCAGCCTGAGGATGTGGGTGTTGCTGGCTGGGCCCAGCATTTATTGCCCCGTTTCCCCCCCAGATTGCCTCCCCCTTGAGAAGGTTGATGGAGGGAGGGGGTTTGGTTCTGAGCCGCCGCCTTGAACCGCTTGTCGATGGTGGGACAGGCTTTGTTGGGGGGGGGGGGGGGGGGGGTGCGATAGTCAGGAGGGGAGTCACTCGCTGCAGGATTCCCAGCCTCCATGGAGTTAACTTGTCTCCAGTGACCCCCCCTCGCCTGGGGGTGCGAGACCCAGCGGCGTATTCTCGGGTTGGCCACAAGGTGGGGCTGTTTCACCCAAGGTGGCACTGACCCATTGAGGAACTCTCAAGCTGCCCCAATGGGGAATGCCTGAAGCAGCCAACAAGATACGGGGTGGGGGGGGGTGTGGCAGAGACAGGCCATTCGGCCCATCGAGACTGCCCCGCCGTTCGATTTGTGGAGCGTTTCTCAGTCCCGTTCTCCTGCCTTCGGCCTCGCAGCCCCAAAGGTCGTCTTCCACACCCTTCATATTGCTCCACGATCATGTTCTTTTCAATTCGCTCCCCCTCGCCCCCTCTCCCTCTCTCCTCGCCCCCCCCCCCCCCCCCCCCGCTCTCTTCCCCCCCCCCCCCACCTCGCTCTCGCTCTCTCCCTCCCCCCCACTCGCTCGCTGTCTACCCCCCTCGCTCTCGCCCTCTCTCACGCTCGGGACCCTCTTCCCTACTCTCCTAATTCCTCGATGGATTTAGCCTACGTCGCGGGAGGGCACCGCAACAGTTTTTCTGGGGACGTGGGCGCCATTGGCTTGGCCCACTATTTCTTGCCCGTCCCTACTGGCCCTGGAGTAGGGGCAGTGGTGAACAACCACCTCCTCAAGGGGCAGCTGGAGATGGGCAAGAAATGCTGGGCCCCGTCCGGCATTGCCCACCTCCCAGGAAGGAATAATAACAAAGGGAGTTGCTGTGGGGGGTTTAGGGAGGGGATTTCGACCCAGCGACACTGAAGGAACGGCCGATTTATAGCTCCAAGACTGCTCAGAGGGGAACTGCGAAATCAATATCCTTCGTTGGCTGTAAAAACACTCTCTGGGACGAGAAAGGTGCTATCTAAATGCAAGGTCCCTCTTCCTTTCTGGGTGCATCCCAAAGAGAGGTACCAGCAAAACAAAAACAGATACGTCTCTGAAGGTGCAAGGATATACATGTCTACACTTCTCACTGCCTTGGGAAGGCAACCTATATTGTCAAAGACCCCTCCTCCAGCCCGGCTATAATCTCTTCCAACATCTTCCATCAGGCTGAAGATACAAAAGCTTAAACACACGCACTGACAGATTCAAGAACAGCTTCTTCCTCGCTGTTATTAGACTCCCGAATGGGCCACTCTCAAATTTTACATTTAATGTCGATCTCTCTGTCTCTCTCTGTGCACCCTCTCTGTAGCCATCAACATTGCGTTCCCTGCTCTGTTCTAGTACTGTTTGCACTTTGTATGGTTCTATCTGCTTGTCCTGCACGCAAAACAAAAATTTTCACTGTACCTAGGGACGTGTGACAATAACAAATTGGATCAAATCAGAGAGGAAGAGCAAAATTTGAGAGGTATACATGATTGTAGCAGGTGGACAGAGAGATACCATCCCTGTCAGATAATAAAACAAGGAACGGAGGGGAACTGATACAGAAGTTGCTGGGAAAAACTCAGCAGGTTCGGCAGCATCTGTGGAGAGAAAATCAGCGTTTAACGTTTTCAGGTCCGGACCCGAAAACATTAGCTCTTGATTTCTCTCCATAGATCCTGCCGGACCTGCTGAGCTTTTCCAGCAACCTCGGGGTGTGTGTGTTTCTGATTTCCAGCATCCGCAGTATTTAGTAAGGAATTGGGAGGCTGAGTCAACATGCGTGAGCGAAAATAGACGCGCGCACGTTCTAGCAGCCATAAAATTTGGGATTAAATCGGATGGCAGAGACGCGACCTGGCGGTTTTGAGTTTGTCACTCCCAGGATGTGTGTTCTTTCTCTCCCCCTTCAGTTTTGCATTGTACCCTGGGTTCCAGAGTTAATTGACATTTGTGACAAAAAAACAATTAGGAAAGTTCAAAAGGGCTACGTAATTTTGTTTCTGTTCCCTCCAGGGGTACAACAATTGGACCAATGGACTGTATGGGTACTCGTGGGATATGATGGTCCATAGCCGAACGCACCAACATGTCAAGATAACATACAAAGATGGCGTCACTGGGCAGATAGGCTACCTAAACCCTGGGGTGAGTTAGCCATGTCAAAACCCACCCGCCACCCCCAGCTCTCCGTTTGCTGCCTCCTCCTTCCCCAGTAGGCAGCACCGTCGCTCCCCTCCGAGAGACGAGGTCCTGGGTTCAGGACCTGCTGTAAGATTGGTCTCGCCAGCTCCTACACCCCCCGCCCGCCGACACAAAAAAAACCCCAATGGGTGTCGGCCTCTCTCTGCTACGTTTAGCCCCAGGGCGTTTCTGGATAGGTGGGGCTGAGAAACCCAGTGCCAGAAGGACGCTGGATCTGCACACGGCCCTGTGGGGAGGACGACTGAGGCTGTAGTGGTGTACGTTGGCAGTAGGCCGCATTGTTTGAACACCGCATTCCCTGACCCGGTTTTAGCTCGGGGATCAACTCACCACTGATGCAGCGCTAGAATGGCAGCTACAAATGGCCTGACCTCCTGAGTGCACGTTTAAAGTCCAGGCCTTAACGCCCTAGGCCTCATGTGGAGTCCCCGGTGGGAGAAATTCCAGGACGCATTTCCCATTGCCCAAAGCCTTGGGGATGTTGTTGGAATCATTAGAAGGCCAGGAGTAGGCCATTTGGCCTTTGAGGTCTGCTGCGCCTTTCGGTGAGATCCCAGCTGGCTCTGTGTCTGTCCAGTGCGATAAGGGCTGCTCCACCTCTTGCTCATTTGGCTGTCTGGTTATACCGGCATTATAACTTTGCGCTCCTGGTGGGGAATTTACCCGGGTCTCTCCCGGCAGCAACATTTCTACAGGTTTCACTCCTCTTAAAACATCGTTCTGCATCCCCCGTCGCTATCGTCCTTCCTGCCCCTGCTGGGAGAGTCTTTCGATTTTAGGCCAAATGTATTCCGTCTACTTGTTCCGCCCTATCCACCCTCCTTTGTTACATCTCCTGACAGAAACCTCTGGTTTGAAACTTTTTGTAGGTGTGGACGCAGAGTCGGCGGTGGAAGGACCATGCTGACATGTTGAAGCAATATTCTGCCTGCCTCGCAAGGCAGCTGCTGAGGTACAACATCTCCGAGCCTGAGATTTACTTTGACATCTGGGTGTCGATAAATGAGAGGTTCCAGCAGAGGTAAGTGCCAAAGGCTGTTGATTCACAATGTTCGGAAGCACCCCCCCCCCACCAGCCCCTCCAAACCCCTCGGATACTGCGGCAGCTGGTGGACTCCTTTTCAGGTTTGGGATGGTACGTGGCAAGCTACGTTTGTGCCAAGCTAATGCCAGGCAGTGACTGTCTCCAACAAGAGAGAATCTAACCACCCACCTCCCTTGACATTCACTGGTGTTACCATCACTAAATCCACCCCCCACCTCACTATCAACATCCTGGGGGTTACCATTGACCACAAACTGAACAGAACCAGCCCCACATAAACACAGCGGCTACAGGAGCAGGTCAGAGGCTGGGAATCCTGCAGCGAGTAACTCCCCTCCTGACTCTTCCCCCCGCCAAAGCCTGTCCCACCATCGACAAGGCACAAGTCAGGAGTGTGATGGGATACTCCCCACTTGCCCCGGATGGGGGCAGCTCCAACAACACTCGAGAAGCTCGACACCATCCAGGGACAAAGCAGCCCCCGGCTCGATTGGCCCCACATCCACAAACATCCCACTTCCCCCCCACCACCGACGCTCAGTCACAGCAGCGTGTACCATCTACAAGATGCACTGCAGCAACTCACCGAGGCCCCTCAGACAGCACCTTCCAAACCCATGACCCACTTCCATCCAGAAGGACAAGGGGCAGCAGGTACATGGGAACACCACCCCCTGCAAGTTCACCCTCCGAGCCCCTCACCATCCCCAATTTGGGAAATATATCGGCCATTCCTTCAGTGTCGCTGGGTCAGAATCCTGGAACTCCCTCCCTGAGGGCACCATGTGGGGGTCCCTACACCACATGGGACTGCAGCGGCTCACCCCCAGCTTCTCAAGGGGGGCAACTAGTGGGGAATGGCCACTAATTGTGGCCCATGCAGCGAACAATGAAGAAGGTTACCAATTTGCAGTTACCTATTGTAACCACTGACTGGCATTGTACAGTCTGTGTGAGCGTGTGTGTGCGGCACTGTCTAACGTTGAGTCCTTTACCCCAGGCTCTTTGACCCTCGTGTTGACATTGTAACGGCCGCGTGGTCCCCCTTTAAAAAGACGACCTGGTTGATGCCCCTCCTGGTCGATCTGTCACCCTGGAGAACGAAGTTTGACGAAATCGAGAAAACGTTGGACAATCAGACCGATGTGGTTTTCATCGCTGACTTCCCAGGTTTGCAACAAAAAAAAAGACCTAGGCCCGAAACGTCAGCCTTCCTGCTCCTATGATGCTGCGTTCATCCAGCTCTACACCTTGTTATCTCAGACCTTTTAATTGGGCTGGGCGGTTTGCGTCTTTTAAAGGGACGAAGGAAAATCATAGAATCCCTACAGTGTGGAAACAGGCCCTTCGGCCCAACAGGTCCATACTGAACCTCAGAGCACCCCCCATCCCCCTATAACCCACCTAATCTACACCTCCCTGAACACTACAGGCAATTTAGCACGGCCAATCCACCCTAACCTGCACATCTTTGGACTGTGGGAGGAAACCGGAGCACACAGAGGAAACCCACACAGACACAGGGAGAATGTGCAAACTCCACACATACAGTCGCCCGAGGCTAGAATCGAACCCGGGTCCCTGGCGCTGTGAGGCAGCAGTGCTAACCACTGAGCCACTGCGCTGCCCCAAAATGTGATTGAAATTCCCATAATCAGACAGCTTGCTGCGTTGACCCTGCATCTCCCCGTTGCTAACCCAGGACCTCCTATTCCTCCAGGCCCCTCACACTGTGAGATATAAAAGGCTCTTGAAGCAGAAAATTATTCTGTAATGTAATACTCTTAACTTGCACCTTATTAAAGCTTTCTGTAGGACTTCCTCACCGCCCAGGTATTCCAGTTGGATATCAGGGGCATTGTTTTCCACCATGACGTCACAAATTTCTTTATTCAGCAAACTGTCTGATTTGTATTTATTTTGGCCTCTGCAAAATTACAGTCGAGTTGGGTCTCTCAATTTACTTGAAGCCTCCTGACCATGTCGTGTCCCTGAGCCAGACGAACGCTGTTCTTACGGAGGGGTTGAAATCGAAAGGGGAAATGGATCCGAGGATGCGCAGTTGGTCAAGAACTGGACTGTATTGTTAGTCTGTGCCAAGCCAACTTGTTTGATTCAAATGCACCAGTCTGCATTCCGAGAGTGACAGCTGTGCACGATGGGGAAGTGCTGCCCTCTGGTGTTGTGCAGAAAGACAGACTGTCTCACTCAGACACACACATGCACACATTGACACACATGGCCCTCCTTAAGCCTGACCCACCCCAGACCCAGTCTCCTGCAGTGAATTCTTTGACCCATTAGGGAAAGCAAGTCCTTCGCTCCGTGCCCCTCCGGTCCTGGATCTTCCAGTCAACAGAAGCAGTTGGTCCTGATCCTGACTACCAAGCAAACCCTCTCTCGGTCGTCTCATCCCTGGGGAACGTGGGACACGCGGGGTGGGGGGTACTTGGCCCCCAGAATCTTTACTGCGCCCTGTTCAGCGCCTTCGACATTCCTCCCTAAAGGGTCCCAGAGCTGGTGACAGCACTCCAGTTGAGATAGTGTGTGTTTCTCTTTTGTGCGAAAGGAGGTTTCTCCGCGAGAGACCTGTCACTGACTTTTGTGCCGAATCTCTCGCCGACAGGGCTCCACCTGGAGAACTTTGTGAGCGAGGACCTCGGCAACACCAGCATCCAGGTCCTGAAGGGTGAGCTGGCCGTGGAGATCGTGGCTGAGAAACGAAACTACACCCTGAAGGAAGGAGAGAAGATGCAGGTCAGAGGCAGGGGAGCCGTGGTAACGCCAAGGAAATAACACGACGTTTGGTTTTAGCTCATCTAGGGACACCGTCGCCGTTCCACGTCCACTCCCTCTCTTTTTTTCCTTTTCTTTAGTATAGTCCTAGAACTGTTTGGGTGCGGAGACTGTTCAGCCCATCGATCCAGTTATGTCCCCTACCTGCCAATCTTCTGCTCTCACCACTACCCCCCAATCTCCCTGGACACCATTCTTGTCCCAATGCCTCAGTTGAACCTGAACCCACCCCCATGTTTCCAGGCAGTACATTCGACACCCTAACCACCCGCTGGGCGAAAAACGAATTTCTCAAAGTCGCCCGTCCTTCATTTTATTTTTTTCTCCGTCCTCATTTTTCCCTCTCACAAACAGGGATGGGGCTCCTCCCTCTCTGCTCTGTCCAGTCCCCGATCGGAAAACCTCTTGTCAGATCGCTCCTCTCCTCTTAGGAGAGAACAGTCCCAACGTTGTCAATCTGTCCTCATGGCAGGAGTTTTTCATCCCGGGGCACCGTTCTTGTAAATCGCTTCTGCACCCTCTTGCTCGCGCTCTCGCTCTTGCTGGCTCTCTCGCGCTCTCTCTTTCTCTCTGACGCATTCACATCTTCGCTATAAGGTGGAGCCCACAACGGCGCACAGTTCTCCAGCTTGGGGGCTATAACAAATACCTTGTACCAGATCAACTCTCCTCTTGTACTCTATGCCCCTGTTAATAGAGCTGAGGGTACAGTGTGGTTTATTAACCGCTCTCTCTCCCCTAGTCCTGCCACCTTCAGTGATCTGGGCACACACGTACACCCTCTCAGCTCTTGCACCCCCTTTAGAATTGTACCCCCTATTTTATATTGGTCTTTCCACGCACTTCTGACTAAAAATGCTTCACCTGATGCTTTTCTCCGTGCGCTGAATCTCATCTGCCACCCTTCTGCCCACTCTGCCAACTGGTCACCATGAAAGAGTAGCTGGCACTGGTCCCTAGCGAGTCTGTTTAGTGTGTGGGTCCTTTCTCGGTGCCAGTACGGGAAAGGGGCTGACTTGTGTGTGTGGCCAGTGCAGGAATGTTTTGCTGGCTGTAAGGAAAAGGTTATTGCAGGTACAAAACACCCTGTGACTTAACATTTTTTTTTTAGTTTGTGTAGCCTCCATACAGCAGTGAGTGCCCAATATTTTTTGAAATCCTTCTTCCGTCTCAAAAGCTGTTTTGCAAATAATGGAGTCAACGGCTACCCCATGACACTCACCTATACAGGGTATCTCAGGTATCTCAGATATCTTAGGTATCTCAGGTATCTCAGGTATCTCAGATATCTTAGATATCTCAGATCCTATGCTAGGTCCTCGTGCTTTGGAGAGGACGTGAGGGTCCCAAAAGGGGGAGATTGAACAGGATGAGGGATGAGGGATTCCAGTGACATGGGTTTTTCCAAATATCCGGGATCGTTGACCTTTTCGGAGATTTGATGGAGGGGTGCAGGATTCTGACAGATTTTGATAAAACAGATGGGATGTTGGGGAATTTCACTGACTCTCCAGCCCCACCCTTCCCGGGGTTGCCACAAAACGGAACGATTTGATCAAATCCGTGCATATTTATTGGAATCTAGTTAGCCAAAAACACTGCCCAGCTTCCTGTACTTAACAAGAAGTACTTATTTATTATGAGCAAGTTAATTCTCAAGTGAATGGCGATGAACCAGCAAAATATGGCTCAGCTGGTTAAAATTTTAACCTCCTTTTGTGCATACACAAAGGCACGGGGGGAAAAGAAAACTAGTAAACATAGTTCAATAGCACACGTTCATTGAGATGCCCCTTTTTTTTTAAGCTTTCCAGAATTTTCTGTTCTTCAATCTCCCTTCTCGGGGGTTCTGCACAGGGTGATTGTTACAGTAACTGCAAAGTCTCTTTACTGGTTAAAGGTTACAGGAATTTCAGGCTTCAGATACACCGAATGCAGAGCCGAGAGAGCCTTCCAGCAATCTGATACAGTCCCTCTTATCGTTCGCACCTACAGATTTTTTTTTTCCCCTCTTTTAGCTACCTAGGAACCAATCGGGGCAGGTGACCTCTGACATTCGTAACTTGTCACCATTGCACAGACCATTCAGTTATTTGTTCTCAGCCAAATCTCACTCTGCACACACAGACGCGCACACACACACAGACCCACTCACAGACACGCGCTGTCTCTCACAGACGCACCCCCCCATTGCCATGCTATCTCCAAACCTTCCCCCCACTACTGCCCGAACAAAGTAGCAGTGTGAACATGGAAAGCCAAGGGTTTTACTAACTTGTTTTTAAAAGCAATTTCTTCCACAGCCCTTGGTTTTAAGACAGTCTTTTATGTTTGTCTATTTAAGCCCACTTGTCCAAACTACAGAAAATAAATGATATGGGCTCTAAAACCAGGGGAACCTGATTGGTCTTTAGAGTTTACTCATTTCATGACCTCTCCTTAAGTGTGTAAGAGTGAAACTCGCTTGAATCGCAAATCTAAGGCAGATTTTTAATCAGGAAGGGGAATCGAGTGTTATCGGCGGGGGGAATTGGGGAAAGGCAGGAAAGTGGGAATTGAGGATGATCAGATCGACAATGATTGTGTTGAACGCCATAGCGGACCAGATGGGCCAAATGGCCAACTTCTGCTCCTATGCCTTATGTCATAGCTGACACGGTGGCTCAGTGGTTAGTGCTGCTGCCTCACGGTGCCAGGGACACTGGTTCGATTCCACCCTCAGGGTGACTGTCTGTGTAGGGTTTCCTCCGGGTGCTCCGGTTTGCTCCCACGGTCCAAAGATGTGCAGGTTAGGGTGGATTGGCCATGATAAATTGTCCCATAGTGCCCAGGGATGTGCAGGTTAGGGTGGATTGGCCATGCTAAATTACCCATAGTGCCCAGGGATGTGCAGGTTAGGGTGGATTGGCCGTGCTAAATTACCCATAGTGCCCAGGGATGTGCCGGTTAGGGTGGATTGGCCATGATAAACTGTCCCATAGTGCCCAGGGATGTGCAGGTTAGGGTGGATTGGCCGTGCTAAATTACCCATAGTGCCCAGGGATGTAGGTTAGGGTGGATTGGCCATGGGAGGAAATGCAGAATCACAGGGACAGGGCATGATGCTCTTCAGAGGGTCGGCATGGACTCGATGGGCTGAATGGCCGGCTTCCACGCTGTAGGCTGATGGCGCAATGGGCCGAAGGACAGATTTAAGGTATGGGGCAAGGAATGCGAGCGGGGTGGGGGTTGGGAAACTCGCAAGATTCTGGAACTGGCTGCCTGGGGGGAGGTAGTGGAAGCAGATACTATAGTGACCTTTTAAAGGGCGTCTTGACAAATACATGAATAGGATGGGAATAGAGGGATACGGACCCCGGATGGTTAGCTGGGGTGAGGGTTTTAGTTGTGACGGGCAGCACGTTGGTGCAGGCTTGGAGGGCCAAATGGTGTGCGCCGTAATGTTCTTTGTTGGCACGAATGGGCACTGCCCTGCAGTGAGCTGGCACAGTAAGCACTCAATAATCTGGCTTTGCGTTGCAGATACCAGCTGGTGAGTACCACTCGGTGTACACTATATCGGAAGAACCCTCCTGTTACATGTATATTTACGTGAACACTACCATGGTGCAGTTTGAGAAGAATTACACCCGTTTGGTGGAACTCCAGGAGAAGATCAAGAACGGGACAGGTACGTTCGGGGCAAAGCTTGGAAGCAGTTGGATTTCAGAAAAGTAGACGTCTAAATCTATCGATGGGGTTGGCGCAGCGGGTTTTCACCGCGTTTTCCGCCTTTTTTTTCCCTCCTCCGCATTCCCTTTGATTTTTCTCCCACCTTCTCGTTGGTTGGGGAGTTGCTGAGGGGCCTCAGCTTTGGTCGCAAGTCAAGTGTTTTTCTCCCCCGCCACCCTTCAGAGACGGAGGGGATTTCGCCCGAGCTGCAGACGTTGCTGAACGGGAGCTCAGAGGACACCAACGTCACGGACCCCTTGCTGGCGGCGTTCGTGCACCGACAGCGCAGGCAGGAGGAGTACGAGCGGAGGAAGAACGCGACGGTGGCCAACAGACTCTTCCGGTTTGCCCAGAAGAAGCACCAGACCTTCCGCAGGAGGTGAGCAGCTCCCCAGCGGCGCGGCCCGCCTGCCTGCTCGTGACTCGGCGTCGGGCGCGGCGCCTCCCGAGCGATGGGCTTTTCCCGAACAGCCTCTGCTTTGTGACGTGAGGCGCGATCCTGGCCTGGTCGAACAGCGCGCTACGGCCTCCGCTCGCAACCAGTCGCTCGCCCTCGCCAGATCCTGTTTTACGTTCCCGCCCGCTGTGGCCGGGAAAGTAATGGGCCCCGGGGCATTGTGTCGCGCTTTGAAATAATCGGGGGGGAAGCGATGGCCTAGCGGTCTTATCACTAGACTGTTCTATCCAGAGAGCCAGATAACGTTCCGGGTTCGAATCCCGCCACAGCAGACGGTGGAATTTGAATTCAATAAAATATCTCGAATTAAGAGTCTAATGATGACCATGAATCCATTGTTGATTGTTGGGAAAAACCCATCTGGTTCACTAATGCCCTTTAGGGAAGGAAACTGCCATCCTTAACTGGTCTGGGCCTACATGTGACTCCAGACCCACAGCGATGTGGTTGACTCTTAACTGCCCCTAATGGACAATAAATGCTGCCTGGTCAGCGACGCCATCATCCCGTGAATGAATAAAGATTTAATCCCCTGGACCATTCTCCAATCCAGCGTCAAATTTGCTGCCGATCTCTCCTCTCTCGCCCTGTGCAGTGTGAAATGTCGGGCCAGTTGAAACTCGGGTGTACAAAGAACAAATTCTGCTCTTCTTGCAATTTTTTTCGCCCCGACGAGACGAAAAGCTTCCAACAGTTACGCTTCCCTCCCTCGAGTATCGCCGAAGAACTTAAAAGTATTTTGGCGTGCCGCCACCAGTACTGTGACCTCGTTTTCAAACCACTTTTCTGTCGTGTTTTTCCCCACTCGCAGCATCCTCATGACTGGCTACGCGATACGGAACCTGCTATTTGGACGACCCCCCGTGGAGCAGTTGGCCGAAGAGCTGGAGTACGCAAACATGAAACTTTATGAGAACTCAGACCCTGAAGCCCAGACGAAGGCCTGGCCTAAGTTGGAGGATCACGCTGAACTGTGACGAAGCTCACAAACTCATCAAAACCACCCCCCTCAAGCTTCTCAAAATCAAGGCTTCCGCACGCGAACTCGCAGAAGAAGCCTTGGACTCGAAAAAACCTTGAACTTTTTTTTATTATTAAACAACAGATGGAACTTTATACGTTTTACGTTTGCGTGGTTAAACCTTTCACTGTGGCGTAGGCCGACAGAGCAAATTTTCAGCCCGTCGAAGATGGGAGGTTTTTTTTATTTTACGCAGCGCACGTGAGCCTTTAACCGAAGCTAAATATCGCGGCTGTCGGAAATCTGAAGTTTTAAAAGCAGGAAACATGGGGAGCATGTGGCAGTTTGGGCTGCGTCTGCATGGAGAGGTTGTTTCTTATCGGGGAGAAAGCGGGAGAATGGGGTTGAGGAACTTATCAGCCGTGATTGAATGGCAGAGGAGACTCGATGGGCCAAATGGCCTAATTTCTGCCCCTGTGTCTTCTGGTCTTAACATTTCCCAGTGGTTGACGTTTTTGTTTTGTCAGAATTTGAAAAAAGTTCTAAGCCTGTGTTTATTTTAAAAAAAACTTCATACAAATACGGTCCCTACTGCTCCCGTTGTCAGAGAGGGTTCATAATGAATTCTGTGATCTTTGATGCCAAGAGTGAGCCTCTAATCCTGAACTGGTCAAGTGGTACAGGACATTGGTTAGGCCCCTTTCGGCATACTGTGTTTAATTCTGGCCTCCCTGCTATAGGAAGGATGCTGTTGAACTTGAAACGATTCAGAAAAGATTTACAAAGATGTAGCCGGGACTGGAGGGTTTGAGTTATAGGGAGAGGTTGAATAGACTGGGGCTATTTTCCCTGGAGTGTCGGAGGCTGAGGGGTGACCTTATAGAGGTTTCTAAAATCATGAGGGGCATGGATAGGCTGAATAGACAAGGTGCAGCAAGCGGCCCTCTTGTTTTCAGCAGCGGGTGTGTGGAGGGAACGCGAGCCAGGAAGAAACACATAAATTCGGGCATTGGCTAAACCCGAAAGACTACACGTGTAGTGTCTCCCACCCGTCCTCCTCCTCTAACCAAAAAAGACTGTGTGGAGGTTCGGTAAGGTAAGGCTTTTTTAAAAATTATTATTCTTCTGGAAATCTAGAGTAGAGGGAATGGAAGCTAGGGCAGTTGCATGCTCCTCTTGCAGGATGTGGGAGGTAAAGGTCACTGCTGGTGTCCCCTCTGACTTCACCTGCGAGAAGTGCACCCAGCTCCAGCTCCTCAAAAACCATGTTAGGGAACTACAGCTGGAGCTGGATGAACTCTGGATCATTCGGGAGGCTGAGGGGGTGATAGAGAGGAGTTACAGGGAGGTGGTCACACCCAAAGTACAGGAAAAAGGTAGCTGGATGACTGTCAGGAGGGGGAAAGGGAATAGGCAGACAGTGCAGGGATCCCCTGTGGCCATTCCCCTCAATAATAAGTATACCGTTTTGGATACTGCTGGGGGGGACCTACCAGGGGAAGGCCATAGCAGACAGGTCTCTAGCACTGAGCCTGACCCTGTGGCACAGAAGGGAAGCGGGAAGAATAGGAGAGCAATTGTAGTGGGGGATTCAATAGTAAGAGGCACAGACAGGCGGTTCTGTGGACGTGAACGAGATGAAAGGATGGTATGTTGCCTCCTGGGTGCCAGGGCCCGTGATGTCTCGGATCGTGTCTTCAAGATCCTTAAGGGGGAGTGTGAGCAACCAGCCATCATGATACACATCGGTACCAATGACATAGGGAGAAAAAGGACTGAGAATGTGAAAAACGAGTACAGGGAGTGAGGTTGGAAGCTGAAGTCCAGGACAAACAGGGTAGTTATCTCTGGATTACTACCAGTGCCACGTGATAATGAGGTAAGAAATAGGGAGAGAGTGCAGCTAAACACGTGGCTACAGGGCTGGTGTCGGAGGGAGGGCTTCCATTATGTGGATAATTGGAGCACGTTCTGGGGAAGGTGGGACCTGCACAGTAAGGACGGGTTGCACCTGAACCGGAAGGGCACAAATATCCTGGGAGGGAGGTTTGCTCGAGCTATACGGGATGGTTTAAACTAGATTGGCAGGGGGCGGGGAACCGGGTTTGTAATTCAGAGGATGAGGTATTCGGCCTTCCAACAGCCACAACAGGGAGTGCGGTGGTTTATAAAGAAATGCGGTCAATGGAGCGTAATTGCGGACACCGAGAATGGTTTGAGGTGTGTATACTTCAATGCTAGAAGTATCAGAAATAAAGCGGATGAACTTAGAGCATGGGTCAGTACTTGGAACTACAATGTTGTGGCCATTACAGAAACTTGGGTAACTCCGGGAGAGGAATGGTTGTTGGAAGTTCCAGGATTTAGATGCTTTAAAAGAAATAGGGAGGGTGGAAAAAGAGGTGGGGGAGTGGCATTGCTAGTCAGGGCTAGTATAGCAGCTACTGAAAGGCAGTTCGAGAATGATATGTCTACAGAGTCAGTTTGGGTTGAGGTCAGGAACAAGAAAGGAGCAGTCACTTTGTTGGGGGTTTTTTACAGACCCCCTTATAGTTGCAGAGAAGTAGAGGAGCGGGAGGCAGATACTGGAAAGGTGCAGAAGTCACAGGGTTGTAGTCATGGGTGACTTCAACTTTCCAAATATTGATTGGAAACATTTTAGTTGTAATAGTTTAGATGGAGCAGATTTTGTCCAGTGTGTTCAGGAAGGATTCCTGGCACAGTATGTAGATAGACCAACACGAGAAGAGGCCACTTTGGTTTTGGTGCTTGGCAACGAACCGGGCCAAGTGTTAGACCTGTTGGTAGGAGAGCATTTTGGCGGTTGTGATCATAACTCTGTTTCTTTCACGATAGTCATGAATAAGGATAGGTACATACGGCAGGGTAAAGTTTACAATTGGAGGAAGGGTAATTACAATGCAGTTAGGCAAGAACTAGGTAACATAAATTGGGAACAGATGCTGTCAGGGAAGAGCACCACAGAAATGTGGAGATTGTTTAAGGAATGCATACTGCATGTGGTAGATATGTTTGTCCCTAGCAGGCAGAGAAGATGCAGTCAAGTGAGGGAACGATGGTTCTTGAACGGAAAAGGCTCTAGAAGGATACAAGTTAGTCAGGAAGGAGCTGAAGAAAGGGCTGAGGAGAGCTATAAGGGGGCATGAGAAAACCTTGGCGGATAGGATCAAGGAAAACTCTAAGGCTTTTTACACGTATGCGCAGAACAAGAGAATGACAAGAGAAAAGGTATGGCTGATCAAGGATTGTAAAGGGAATTTGTGCACGGACCATAAAGAGATAGGAGAGGTCCTTAATGAATACTTTTCTTCAGTATTCACAACTGAGAGGGACCTAGTTGTAGAGGAGGATGTTGTGAAACAGGCAGGTAGGCTAGAGAAGGTTCATGTTAGTAAAGAAGATGTGCTAGGAATTCTGAGGAAGTTGAAGATAGATAAGTCCCCCTGGCCTGATGGGATTTATCCAAGGATTCTATGGGAAGCGAGGGACGAGATGGCAGGGCCTTTGGCGATGATCTTTTTGTCCTCACTGTCCACGGGTATAGTGCCGGAACATTGGAAAGAGGCAAACGTCATTCCCTTGTTCAAAAAAGGGAACACGGATTACCCTGGAAATTACAGGCCAGTTAGTCTTACTTCAGTGGTTAGCAAATTATTGGAAAGGGCTCTGAGAGATAGGATTTATGATCACTTCGAAAGGCACAGTTTGATTCGTGATAGTCAGCATGGACTTGTGAGGGGTACATCATGCCTCACAAACCTTATTGGATTCTTTGAAGAGGTGACCAAACACGTGGATGAAGGTAGAGCAGTGGATGTAGTATACATGGATTTAAGTAAGGCGTTTGATAAGGTTCCCCATGGTAGGCTCATGCAGAAGGTAAGGAGGCATGGGATAGGGGGAAATGTGGCAGATTGGATTCAGAATTGGCTGACCCTTAGAAAACAAAGGGTGGTAGTGGACGGAAAATATTCAACATGGTGCTCAGTTACGAGTGGTGTACCACAAGGATCTGTTCTGGGTCCTCTTCTATTTGTGATTTTTGTAAATGATTTGGATGAAGGAGCGGAAGGGTGGATTAGTAAGTTCGCGGACGATACGAAGGTGAGTCAAGTTGTGGATAGTGCGGAGGGCTGTTCTAGGTTACAAAGGGACATTGATAGGATGCAGAGCTGGGCTGAGAAGTGGCAGATGGAGTTTAACCCTGAAAAGTGTGAGGTGATTCATTTTGGAAGGACAAACTTGAAAGCAGAATACAGGGTTAACAGAAAGATTCTTGGCAGTGTGGAGGAGCAGAGAGATCTTGGGGTTCATGTCCACAATTCCTTGAAAGCTGCCACCCAGGTGGATAGAGTTGTTAAGAAGGCGTATAGTGTGTTAGTTTTCATTAATGGAGGGATTGAGTTCAAGAGCCGTGAAGTTATGCTCCAGCTATACAAAAGCCTGGTTCGGCCACATTTGGAGTATTGTGGCCAGTTCTGGTCACCTCATTACAGGAAAGATGTGGAAACGTTAGAAAAAGTGCAGAGGAGATTTACCAGGATGTTGCCTGGAATGGAGGAAAGGTCTTACGAGGAAAGGTTGAGAGAGCTAGGGCTTTTCTCTTTAGAATGACGAAGGATGAGAGGTGACTTGATCGAGGTGTACAAAATGATCAGAGGTATAGATAGACAGCCAGAGACTTTTTACTAGGGTGGAGGTAGCTTTTACGAGGGGACATAGTTTTAAAGTGAAAGGAGGTAGATATCAGGGAGACGTCAGGGGTAGATTCTTTACTCGGAGTGGTAGGGTCATGGAATGCATTGCCGGAGAGGGTAGTGGAGTCGGCCTCATTAGGGGCATTTAAGTGGCTATTAGATAGGCATATGGATGATAGTATAAGGTAGCAGTGGAGGTTAGATAGACTTTGGGTTTAGGGTAAAAGTTCGGCACAACATCGTGGGCCGAAGGGCCTGTACTGTGCTGTACTGTTCTATGTTCTATGTCTTTACCCCCAGGGTAGGGGAGTCTAAAACTAGAGGAACATAGGTCAAGGTGAGAGGGGAAAAGATTTAAAAGGGAGAGGAAGGGCAACTTTTTCATGCAGAGGGTGGTGCGTGTATGGAACGAGCTGCCAGAGGAAGTGGTGGAGGCT